GCGATGCTCTTTTGAGTGGATACTGAGCGAGGCCTCGTGACTGTCTCACTTGTTCAATTCGATTTTTTCAAAGGTTCTGAGCCATAGTTGCACACTTTATATGTAAAAGTCCGCTTTAGTCCAGCATGTTTCGTAGTATGAGCCTCATATGAGTCTCGCGGCAAATCATACAATTTCTTTTGTAGCACTTACATCCCTAAATTTTCGCGTGTGATCGGAACATATTGTTGCCGTTCACATGGGGGGTGCGAATGGAAGTGCAGCGACATGTACAGTGCAACTTGTACATATATATATACCATATGTACTTTGGCTCAAGGATCAAGCGACTAGAAAAGGTGCGGTTTCCGTTCCGACGCTACGCCGCTTATGGACCGTCAGTGATAGCTTCAAACTTCGCTGATTAAGATCCACTCGCACCCGATGAATCCAGCGAACAAAATGGCCCAAAGAGCGGCGTGGAGGAAACCAACAACTTCACTAAGTCTCACTATCTCATGGTGGAGCTCCAAAATGCAGGATATGAATGCCAAAGTCCCTTTGGTTGTGCTTGCTGGATGCAAGTGCTGGCAGTGGGTTTCTTCTTGATGTCGCAAATACTACTTCCTTTGTTCTGATTGTTCAGGAGTTGAGCTGAGCCAGTACAAGCACTATAAGCAATCGTTCATCCACGACCCATAAGACCAGAGCTGGCAGACCAGAGTACGACGTCACGACGCCGACATGCACGGGTGCTGGTTCGCCAGGCTCGCCAGGTTAGTGTGGTTCCCCTTTCGGAAAGGAGCATTTCAACAACTGTGATTTGCGATGAAGTGACGCTGCTGGTGTCCTATGACTCCGCATCCAGCCCTGGAAACCTGGCTTTGGCCTTGTCGACCTGAGTCGGAGTTTATTGATCAAAGAGACTTCCTGTGACAAGCAGGCAGCCACCTTGGAATTGCATAGAATTTCACTTAGTTCAGTTCGCACCGTGTTGGTGTGCATTGCCTTTCATCCAAGAGTCAGAGCCAATATGACTCACCAGCACTGCTGACTTTGACCCCACAAGGCAGCGCTTGGCGGGAATGCATATCAAGTCCTGGCCTATGTGCGAAAAGACTCAGACTGGGCCGTGCAGATGTTGATACTGACATGGCTGTGCTTTGCAATCCTTTGCCTGGAGTCAACTTATTCTTTCCAGCTCATTGAGAATTGAATCAGTTCTGAAGCACTGACGCATGATCTCCATTCTTTCACCAGTCATTGAGTTCTGGTATGTTGTGGCATTTTAAGATATGTCACATATGTCCATGACTCCATGACTCCATGAAGGGATTTCGAGCTGGTAGCGTGTTTTACGTAGAAGCCTTGGAATGAATTCATTGAGCATATTTGTACTCTTTGGCGGGTGACCGTGAAGTACTGTGAGAAGCTCTGAAAGTGCAAAGCCGACCAAGAAGACAGCAGGATTTGTTCACACTGACTCCGCCTAAAAGCCTTCTCGAACAGAGCGGCTCTGATTCGACCAGCACAGTCCGATTCCGGCGCGAATGGAGCACAGTCGTGGTGCAGGGGTGAGACTCAGACAAGGCCATGCAGGCCATGCGGATGCTGATGCGGACAGGGCTTTGCTTTGCAGCAATGACTGCATGAAGTCAGTGAATGCTATCAACATAATTCAGAGTCGACCTGGCGCCCAGAAAGACGCATACCAGACATTGTGTTGGCAGGTTCGGGCATTCTAGACCTGTTTTTGAAGCCTGGTTGATCCTGATTCAGCTGCTTTCATTTTGGGCAGAACGGCCTTGGACTAGAACTTCTCTGCAGATTCTGCATGGTATTCGTCCATAGTTTTGAGCCACTGGCAGCAACTTTTTGCACTGGAAGTCGACCTAGAAGACAAACAGTTTCACAGCTTGCAGTTTTGCAAGCTGCACAAGCTTCGCACTCTTTGGTGCCAAGGTTCTCCCATGAAGAGCTGATTTGGTAACTCACACCACCAAACAGCACGAGGAACAGTGTACGACAATGTTGCTCGCACTGTTGCATTGATTCCATAGCTGCAAAGGTTGTTCCCACAATTCTGTATCTCCAAGCTTTTGTTTTGAGAGCAAGCCCGGAAATAGAGGCATGCCCAAAGGTCAGGTGGAACGTTGCTCGATACAGTATTTTTCCCTGTCTCAAGCTAGCCTTGAACCATTTTCACAACTAACCCGCAGCATTTGCATGTTCTTTCCCGAGAACAACAAACAGTTCTTGTGCAAAGAACCCGGATCTAGCAACAAGGCAAAGGAACTTGCGGGGCCTTGACACTACGAGGTAGCGCAGATGAAGGCCTACTGACCTCTTTCCTGCTTGGATCGTGGGGTTGCAACCCGTGACTTGCTTGAGACTGCCTAGATGTTGCAGCAGCACTGGCACAAGTTCAATGGAAAAGACCCAGCCGTTTGCATAAAGGAAGGAACTACTTTTGGTGTCAGATCAGTGCAAGACTTCTGCAAGGAAGACGTCTGACAAAGTTTTGCCTTGTCCATTTGCACAGGAAGCCTGCAGTTGGTTTAGCCAGATTTCCTACAAGTGGCCATGTAGAAGAGCGTAGAATGAGCCATGTAGAAGTGGAAGCAGACTGGGTTCTGCTGTGTGAATGTGAATCAAGAAATGCTTTCAAGCTCACTCAAGGCGCATTCGTCTACTCAGCGCGGAACGACGCAGTGGCACCAGTCCTTCTACTCACTTGGCGGCCCAAGCTTGGTTCCTATCAGATTCTGGCAGTGATGTATGTAGGATGTCGTGCTCAACGGAGTAGGTGGAGAGTTTTATCTAACCTCCAACATGTGCCGAGAAAGCCTGGTTGCGCATGGTCTAATCAGTTGGGTCCTGATATTTCTTGTCTCGTTTGTCCCAAGCTAGCTTTCTTGAACTATTTTCTTCACTAACAGCATTTGATTGCTATTTCCGTGCCAGTACATCAACTTGTCTAACTCTAATAGCAAGGTGTCAATTGAGCTTGCATGCCTTGACACTCTGAAGTAACAGATGCAGATGAAGCCCTGCTGATGCCTTTCGTGCTCGGATCATGTGGGTGCAGCCCCAAGCTTGCTTGAGATTGCACACGTGTCACAGGAGCACCGGCACAATATGTTTGATGGAAGACACTGTACACTGCAAATATCAAGAGGGCAGGGGCAGAGATTGCAAAGTATAAAGTCAATCAAGACTTCCTACCAAGCTGCCTCCCATCCCGAAAGAGCCTCCTCCTTCTGGCCGTCAACAAGTTCCAAACACTAGTGTGCGCATGTCCCTTCAAACGGAGCCCAACAAATACTTCCTGCACTTGTGGAGTCAGCTTTAAAGCGAGCATAGCAAGAATGTGTCAAAAGGACTTGCACGGCCTTGTCCCAGTGCTTGCTTCAGATGCCGCAGTAAGCGCCCGAAAAAACACAGTCCATGCTTGGTGCAGGATCCGGCGTAAGACTTTCCGCAAAGCTGCCTCTCATCACCAACAAGCAGCATTTGTCAAGTGCCAAAAGAAGGTGCAGATACTGTACAGAAGCACCCGCACAACATGTTTGATGGAACATACAAAGATACACAGCAAATATCAAGAGGGCAGCAATTGCAAAGCATAAAGTCAATCAAGACTTCCTGCCAAGGTGCCTCCCATCCCGAAAGAGCCTCCTCGCTTTGGCCGTCAACAAGTTCCAAACACTAGTGTGCATATGTCCCTTCCCACGGAGCCTAACAAGTTCTTCCCGCACTCACTGAGCCAGCTTTGAAGCGAACATAGCAAGAATATGTCAAAAGGACTTGCATGGCCTTGTCCCAGTGCTTGCTTAAGATTGCCTAGACGCACTCAACTTTCTAAAAGGAAGACACATTGCCACTTGCAAGAAGGAAAGATGTTCAGACAATAAAGTCAATATTATTTGGCACAAGATCAGTGCAAGACTTCTGCAAGGAAGACGTCTGACAAAGTTTTGCCTTGTCCATTTGCACAGGAAGCCTGCAGTTGGTTTAGCCAGATTTCCTACAAGTGGCCATGTAGAAGAGCCACGTAGAATGAGCCATGTAGAAGTGGAAGCAGACTGGGTTCTGCTGTGTGAATGTGAATCAAGAAATGCTTTCAAGCTCACTCAAGACGCATTCGTCTACTCAGCGCGGAACGACGCAGTGGCACCAGTCCTTCTACTCACTTGGCGGCCCAAGCTTTGTTCCTATCAGATTCTGGCAGTGATGTATGTAGGATGTCGTGCTCAACAGGGTCCGAGAAAGCCTGGTTGCGCATTGTCTACTAGTCACCACTTAGTCCGAGGGATGGCAATGTGGACTTGCACAGTGGCACAGCTCCATGACATGTACAGAACTACATGGAAGCGCCGAGATTGCCAGTGCACAGTTGAGCCTAGACGACATTCCTCTGCATGCCTCTTTCTTTGTGCAACGAATTCTGAAAGAAGCAAGCAAGGTCTGAGGCGCCCCAGGGTGCATCCCAGGGGTGTTCTTTTGTGTGATGCTTCCCTTGCGACCGTAGCAAGACCTTGGAGCCTTGGAGCCATGCTTGAAGTAATGCCAGTAGTTAGAAAGAGTTCTTTGTACCTGGCTCCTGGCTGCAAGCTGAAGGTGTCAGGCGTCACTTGCAGTGCTTGCCCGATGTAGAGACGAGCGAGAAACATGGATGCCAGACATCGAGTTGGGATCTTACAAGCAGCTTACTCTCCAAAGCATAAAGTCTTGCCATAGGAGAGGTGCTGATACTCTTCAGTGTTCAGCAGCAAAATGTGCGCGGGCAAGTTTCGCATGAAAGCAGGGTCAATCGACCTCTTACGTAAGAATCTTGGCATTTCTAGAGTAACGATACCTGAAAGCTTTTGTCTTCGCTAATGCAACATCTCTACTCACCTTGCAGTTAGGAATAGCTTGAGATTTGGTCTTCTTGTTCCCAGACAGCTCAGCGAAGTGAGTAGAGTTCACTGTCACTTCTGTGTTGGCACTTGTCGCTGTCATTCTGTTGCTTTTTGGAGGTGGATGTGCTGGTCCTCAATGCGCCTGGGATTTCCTGTACTCAGAAGTTTTGTGTTTGACACTTGAACCAACATTGGACTCTGGGAAGCAATTATCTATTTCTTTTTGAGTTGTGTGTGGTTTTGGCTTCTGTATTTTATTCCTCTTGCTAGACATTGAACATGCGCACCGAAGTCTTGCAGAAGTGCCGTGCATCCGCCGCGCGAGATTTATCCTTAGGCTGGCGTGATGCGTCGTTGCCGGGAGCTGACTGAGGCAAGGGAATCGAGTGGCCGGCCCTGTTCGGGGTCACTGCCAAGGTAACAGGTGTTGGTCTAAGGGGTAGTTTTCTGCTATGCAAAGATCGGATAGTCCTGGATGGATGATGCCACCTCAGCGTTTGCCAGGATGGCTTTGAGATGACCATGGCAGCTAACCATTTGGGACACTTCCTGCTAGTGCTGGTTCCCAGAGGGAAGAGTTGAAGCAAGGGCACAGCCAGGTGCAAAGAGAGGGCTGAAGGAGAACCTTCAAAACCATTTGATCGGTCCGAAAGCAGTTGGGAGCCTTTTCCGGACTTCTTACACTTCCTGCAAGGCTTACTCCTCACTGCAGAACACGACGCACATGTTGGCCATTCAGCTTCACGCGTATGTTTCATGCACCTCCAGATTTGTTTGTAAAGGAGAAGAAAAGGTCTGAAAAAAGAAAAAATAAGTTCAAAGGATGACCATGAGATTGCAGAGTAAAAGTCTTCACCGAAGGACCGAAGGACCCAGGACCCCAGGACATCATCGCAGCTTGGCTCGAAGGACCCAGGCTTTGCCAAATGGAGGGACCAAGTCTGAATCAATTCGACCATCTTCAGAGTTGGGCCAAATGGTGTTTGGCATGTGTTTGGATGGTTCATGGATGGTTCATGGATGGTTCATGGGGTTCAGATGGATTTCAATCAACGTTTTTGAGAGAAGAACGACCTGCGCAAGACAGACTAGCACAAGGACGACCGACGACCTGTGGAGGCTTCGCATATGTTGTGTAGAAGGGCTTTCAGCATATTCCATCGCATTTGGTTTCATGTTTAGTCTTTTGGACCCGACAAAAAGACCTGGGATGCTGGATGCCTTTACATACGTGCTTCCTACAAACATGGTTGGACTGCTCAGGAGCTGGCGTTTGTTCCTCTTTAGGGGAACACACGATCTAATGCATATCCAGCAGTCAGCATGACTGGCCGATCAGATCTAGGGCACTACCATATCTCCCATCCGTGCAATGCGCGATGGCATGGCGCTACTGATTAGCTTGCCATGAACCCTGGAGAGTATTGATGATGTGACACACCTGGCCAGGTTTATGTAGTGACAGTTGATGCATACAAAACAACAAGGGCCCCTCATTGCCCAGGCCCCTCCGAAGTCTTTGTTGTAGGGTTTTTACGGCCTTATTTTTTTGCTGCAGAATCACTTGCTTGGTGCAGTTGCTCATCGCAACAGCTGCTATATAACCAGCTATCACGACTTTCCAGGGCATCGTGTGGAAGCAGCCCCAAATACAACAATAGAAAACGGCAGCCGCGGGGGCGCGGTCCGCAACACCTCCGCCCTCATTTGCTCAATTCCCGTGACCAACTTCTGTAAATCCTGCCGGGGTGAGCGGGAGGCTTTCTCTTTAAGCGGTGCGACAGGGCGGAGACCGAGCGGTGCGTGACCTGAGGAACGTCCTGGAGGGAGTGGCCAACATTGCCCGCCGCTCGGTCCGGCGGATCACCCAGGAGACGTAGCGATCGGTTGCCAAGGGATCCGGGAAAGGCCCCTTGAAAAGGCCACCACCGATTGGCAGCTGCTCAAGAGACGCATCTGCACCTATAGTGGTGGGGTGCCGGATAGGATTGGTCCCGTTGTCAGTGGGCCTTGCGGCAAGTATCAAATAGAGCCTGTGGCCCTATGGGTAAGGCTTGTAAGGCGGACTCTTGCAATGACCAGGTACATAAGCCAAAGACTTCACTGCAGTCCAAAGACTTCACCTTAGGAGTTGATGCCCCCTAGTCACCATGGCATGTGCAGGCCATTTCACCACGTGTGGTTCGATCCAACAGGGCCCGGCAGGAGACCTGGGAGGATCGCACGCTGGTGGTGCGGATCAGTGCCTTGGACGGCAAAGTGGACCCGGTTCGCTGAGGACCTGGTTGTGAGACGATCAGGTGACTCAGGTGACCTTCAATGATCTTCAATACCAACCAACCGCGAAAGTGGAACAAATTCCACCCACATTTGATAGGGATCATCTTCCACAACCAAGTTCTAAACCACTCGAAAATGGGTTCTCGTTGTTCCATCTCACTGTGCAGGACCTTGAGATGGCTGGTAATAGACTCTGACTAACATGTCAACAGTTTGGAGAAATGACCTGGGACATCAGCAGAAAGATAAGCACCACATTTGATTCAAAGGATGTTGGTGGCAGCCCAGAACGTCAGCTCGCGGAATATGAGCTTTCCCGTGACATCCCCGTGACATCCTAACTCCTAGTAGCGTCCTTGCTCCTAGTAGCGATTCCCAACTGTGAACTTGTTCTTTTTGTTGGGCGCTTTAGGCAATGGCAGTTCCAAAGCTGTGGAAGTCGATGAGCCTGTGATGATGGCGGGACGATGCGTGCCTCGAAAAACAGACGAAGACTGCTAAGCAACGATGGCATCTTGCCAGAGCCTGGTGTGTGATGTCTACATCCTTCCACTTGAGCCGTCAAGCTGCAAAGTATTTAGGAAGCCTTCGCAAGACAGGGTTGGTCTGAAATAGTCGGAAACATTCTGAAACCAGGGATCCTCCAACCAGCTTTGTGAGTTGCGTCGTGTTGATCAGATTGGACCACGACGCCACGCGTCCGGCGGCACCAGGTGCTTTCCTTTTCGCAGCTTTTGCCCGGTCAGTCCGGCTTCATCCGCTTCAGCTCGGCAGGCGCGTCGTCTACGCGTCGTCTCGGCGTCGTCTTGGCGAGACGTGCCGGTGTGTGGCGAAGTGATCCCACTTCAAACAAACCATCAGTTGAATCAGTCAGTCAAGGCCGGTGGGAGGATGTTTCAGAATGTTCGCCTTGAGGTCGGCACAGTCCGAACTTCAAGACTGTGGTCCGAGAGTTGTTCATTCTGATCGAAATCATGTTCATTGATTGGGTTCTGGTCAAAACGAAGCCGCCCCTGGGTTTGTGGCCCGGGATTGCAATTCACACATGTCTGGAATGTTTGTGCGGGATGAACAAGCAAAAGAAGTAGGTCCATGGCTGGTCCCTTTGTCGCGTATGCGTTTCACAGAACCTCTGGGGTGAAATCTTTAACGTGGCCTTCGCAGGTGGCGAATTCTTCGGAAATGCGACCAGCGGCTGCCATCATGCAGGAAGGGTCGGAACTTCTGGTTTGGAATAGCACACATGCAGTGTTTTTTTCTTAAGGACCCAATCAAGACCGTATTGCATCTGTGTTGGTGGTCTCCATACAATCGAATAACAGATCAGGGTTCCTTCTCTATGAAAATGGCATTTTGATACTTGGACACCTTGCTTCAGCATGTTCCACTGCCAGAGTTTTTTGAAGGACTTCTTCCAGAGAGTCCCTTCGGACCTCAAGTGATTCCCATACTACACCAGCTTGGCCAACCGTTTCGGGATTTTGTGTCCTTTTTGGAGGCGCTTTGGAGCTGCGCGTTGATGGGCACCGGCTGCTGATGGCTGAGTGTCCTGGTTGGGAAGGTGAAGTTCCAGCCAGCAGTCGCCACCAGTTCCATCGGTGGTAGTCGGTCGCAGTCGAAACATGTCGAAACCTGTGAAGCTGTGGGGCTTGGACTTCAGGTGTTGTCCTTTTGGGCACACTACCCTCAAGAGCCATCGCTTCGTCATGAGCTTCGAGCCGGGCAAGAGGACCGGTGAAGACCGATGAGATGAACGTGGCGCCTGATTGGGGCGTTGATTCGCTGCTATCACCAGCCAATAGCGGCTAGCGATTCCACCTAGTAGCTTCTTGTTACTAGTAAGTGATGCCAAGTGCCATGACTCTGGCAGGACAGCGCATGACTTTTACAACGAGGCAAGGGGAGGCTTATCTCTACTGCGATTCGACAGGAAAGCAGTCAATGGACGGGGCGACGAGTGTGGGCCAACAACAGAGTCTAATTTTTCTGCTTCTTGAGCACCTCTCCAATGTACATAGTTAATCTATGTCACAAGTCAACCAATGTCCCACACATTCCCGCTCCGTCCGCCTCCCAACAAATTCATACAATTCTAATCTGCTGGTATAGCCTCGCAGTGTCATACAGCGTCGTAGTGAATGTCTTGTTGGTTGATGACTGAACAAACAACCATTTGATTGAACAACACTTATTGTCTCAGTGAAACGTGTGCTATGGGAGCGCTTCCTTTTGATTTCGCGTCAACCAACAGGGGAAGGACACGCCTCGTTGACTTTCACTTCACGCCAGATGCCAGCCACCTTCATGGGCTGCAAGGACAGTCAACATTCGACTCACATGCAGGCACGTTGCGCCTGCGCAAAGCTTCGGGATCTCGGGCCAGTTGCATTCCAGATGCGGGAGACTTTGCCTGGAATCGAAATCGAAGACGTTGGATTGAATCGATTGAACCGACCACAAACACAAGCGTGAGTTACATGTTTCCTTGGAAGAGTTCCGATAGAGCTGTATGATAAGGACCATTTCATTGGATATCACTGGCAATTCTCAGACAGCCTGGTCAGAGCAAGCATTTGAGTGACCCCGTCAAGTTTGTTGACATGTTTGCGAATTGTTTTGTCGCATCGTAGGCTCAAAGTTGAGCCGACCAGTTGAGCGCGGAGGTCTCGTGGAGGTTTTTGGTCTCCGTCGACCATGACGGAGATGGATGGAGTGATCCGGGAGCACGAGGTCTACTTTGCGACCTTGGCGGAGCAGGCCGAGCGCTATGATGAGATGGCGGAACATATGAAGGCAGCCGCCTTGTTTGAACAAGAGCTAGATGCTGAAGAGAGAAATCTGTTGGCAGTTGCTTTCAAGCAAGCGATTGGCCAGCGAAGATGTGCTTGGCGCATAGTTTGTGCTGCCGAGCAAGAAGAGCAGGCGAAAGGAAACCACATGACCACCGCCAGTGCACGAGGCTACCGAAAGAAGATTGAAGGAGAGCTCACGAACCTTAGCCAAACCATCCTTGCCTTGCTCACGGACAAATTGATCCCCGGTGCTACCACAGCCGAGGCAAAAGTCTCTTACTACAAAGCGCAGGGTGACTACTACAGGTACATGGCTGAGATCAGTGATGACATGGACCGAACGAGAGCTACAACAGCTGCAAAAGCAGCATATGAAGATGGGACCAAAGTGGCTGAGACTTCGCTCAAGGTGACCAGCCCCTTTCGTCTTGGATTGGCCCTGAACCATGCCGTGTTCTACTACGAGGTGATGAACGCTCCGAC